AAAAAAAAACAAGAGGGAAGGAGAAAGAAACAAGAACAAGAAAGAAAAAAGAGACGCGGAGAAGAATATGACATCTGTTCCACCCGAAGCAGGGCTTCTAGGGAACAGGGGCAAGACAACAAAGAAAAGATAAGCAAGGAAAAGACGACAGTAAACTCCAAACACAGTTGGTACATCAAGTAGTGCTTTCATGTACATCCTCAGTTCCACGCCTCTGCGCACCGCCATCATACGGCCCCGTGGAATATGTAGCTACGGTCATCCCAGCGCCGCAGTCCATTGCTGTACCGCAGGTGAAACGGGTCGGGTGACCGCTCAGGGGCATTGTGCCACGGATCGATGCGGTCCACCCAATTACGTATTACAGGATCATCCACAAAGGCGGCGAAGGACGGTAGATTCACATTGCTGTCACCTTCAAACACACCTGTCGTCGCCGGTGACGACAGAAACAGCTGGAAGAGAACAAGCCAGCAGTAGAGCTCAACCCGCTGCACAATAGTGAGAATAATCTCCTCCAACATCCGGCGATCAGTTTCGCACTCAGCGGTACGTATGAGCACTGACAGCTCCTCCAGGAACATCAGACCACCTGGTGAGTTTTCCTGCATTACCTTCTGCACTGTATGAACGCACTCTACGACAGAAGCACTGCTCACCTTCACGAGGCCAGCCAAGCATTCGTAGAAGGTATCAATGAAAGACAGACGCTCGGCTGTCTCCTTCGACAGAAGGATTGGTGGTGGAGGCTTTTTTCGCTTCTGAGGGGTCACCGCAAACCCAATCACACTCAAACTTCTCGAAATTTCTGTGCCTTGTACCATGGCGTGCTTTAGTAGACACACAGCGTTGAAGAGCACCAATTGGTATGGCTCATCCACTGCAAAGACCTGGGAGTATCCTTTTCGTATTTGGTCCAGGCATCTGGAAATGAACTGCTCAAACATCATCACCCATACGCGACCGCATACAGGGGTGATCCATGGCCGCTCATGCACGAAATTCCCTTCGCCTAGCACACGCTGGGCCACTCGCTGTGCAACACAATCGATGCTCTCCACCTCCGGGAACAGTAGTACGTGTGATTGACTCCCATGGCTGCGCCGCTCTGTGGTTTCCGTGGATGCCGCAGATCCCCGTGCGGAGAGCATTTCCTTCAAGGCAGCGGCAGAAAGTTTTTTGGCTTCAATTGAAGGTGAACTCCTCTTTACGCCTTCCACCTTACTTGACCACGACTCGCGCTGATCAGAGCGGCGGCGGCTCGAGCGACTCACCGACCGCGACAACGTACGCGAGGACGAGCTTGCGCGTGACATACCCCGTTCCGACCGCCACTCGTTGGCCGGGATTGCCACAAGCGGCTGCAGGGATAGATGGGACACATGGATACCGTAGGAGCAGGCCGGTTTCACCGTGTAGAATTGCTGCAGCTTCTCCACACGCTCCATGATGGTGTCTTGAGCCACCTCCATCGCAAGCTGGAAATCCTCTCGTCGTAGCGAAGCACCGAATGTTGAAATAGGCACATCATCCTCCGGTGCCATTGCGCTTGTGTGTGCTTCGGGGACCTTCGAAGAGAGGCCATCGCTCACACCGCTAAAGCTGCTTTCCTCACGATGCTCGGTGTTTGACGTCACTCCAGTCTTGTTCTGTGAGAATCGCCTTGACGACGGCACCAACCTCTTCATTTCATCAATGCGAAGCACAAGTTCATCGAATCGAGGCCTCCCTTCCACCTCCTGCAGCTCATGTCGCGGCACAAGCACCAGCGGCTCCCCGTTCACGTACACCGCGGGGTGGGGGTGGAGACTCCACCACGCCACTTTTTCCCCGGCTCTGTGGTGAGACACTTCCTGCAGGGCGGCCTCCCACGCATCATCCGTGAGGAACGCGGACGTCGCGTACACGCCAGCACAAAGCCAACTTATACCCATTCCGTCAGCTGACACTACAGAGAATAGTGGCGAAATCTGATCGTTTGCCTGTTGTTGCTGTTGCTGTTGCTGCTGCTGTTGTTGTTGGCCAACGTATAGATGACCTGTGTTGTACGCACGGGCGAGAAGCACTCGCTCTGTCTCAAGAACCTCCCTGTTGCACAGTAGAGAATATTTCTGGGGGGTATCCACCGCGGTGCGAAGGGCAATGCGAGAGAATAGGTGCGGCGCGGAGAACCAACCAAGCACATCTATGTGGAAGCGATGCACGTATTCTTGAAAGGAAGCCACTGTCATTGGCAGCTTTCCACGGTAATACAACTCCAAGTAAGCGATATGCAGTAGGCTTAGCACCAATGACTTGTAGCAGTCGTAGGCACGTCGCTGCAAAACTGAGAGACCACTGCAATCATTTTGAATGGCCATTGCGTACTCAATTGTGTTGCATTTACTTAGGTATTCGCACTCCATGAGGCGAAGGAGGGGGTTAAAGTGCGGAGATGGCTGTGTCTGCCGTTTCATCGGCAGATCTACTTGCTCCTCCTCCCACGACTCAGCCTCACTGTCGACATCTTCCCTTCCCTTGTCAGAGCAACCGCTCGCCTTGATCACTGTACGCACCGGCTTCAGCACAGTGACACGGCGTGGCAAAGGCGGGCACGACACTGGGTAGTTGCTGAAGAGTTCGTCATGTACGGCATTGAGGCGCTCCACAGAGCGCTGCAGCAGAGGCGGCAACGAGGGAGGAAGACCCCTTGCCAAAGAAGCCACGTCAGATGAAGGGACGTTCTGAGGGCGGGGTACAGGCCCTTTTTTCCTCCACCTGTAGCCACGGTAGAGCGCCTGAATGCGCGTTGCGGCTTGCGACTGCAGGTACTGCGACACGCGAAGGAATATCGCGTCCTCATCTGCACGCCGCTGCGCACGTAAAATGGACGACTCGCTATTTTGCTTGCCATCACCAGACTGCAGTCGGCGCTCAGACGAGCGCGATTGGTTTGAAGTCTTGCTGCGGGGCCTACCTCCCGACCTTGGTATTCCCCGCTTCTGATCTCGCTCGTTCCTCCGCTGCAATACCTCCGTCCAATACTCTGTGACGTAGCCGTAGTTGAGCTGTCGGATGCGCGCTTTGCCCTTCTCCAGCGTGGAGACAATTTTACGCCTTTGCACCTGTTCGTGGGGTGGAAGCATTGCAGCGATGATCCGTGAAAAGGTGGTACTGGACGCCCGCGGATTGAAGGAAGCGAACAGAACGGAGGGGACTTCCACTTGAGAGTCGGCATGCTTATCCCAGTGGTGCGATTTCACACCCAGCGCCGTGTCAATTACGTCAAACAGCTTGAGAAAGTCGCATTGCACATCAGGCAACTCAACAATGTGAAACCGTGACTCCGGCGTTGCCACCGCAGCCACCTCAACGTGCAGTGTAGTAACACCAACATGGAGTGCACTCTGCAGGAGTGATGTGATCTTTTCGGTGGATCCCACACACCCGTCAATTATCTCGTCGCGGGCGCCGCCGCGGCGTTGGCAGAGGATCTTCTCCGTCACGTCGGCGAAGTACGGCACGCCCTTCAGGAAGAACAAATCGGTCGGCATGCACGGCGGCTCCACGAACACGACAATTTTAGACGCCGGCGGTGTGATGGAGTCAAGGTGGCGCAACGCCGCATCGAGCTCAAACGCAGTGGGAGTCAAGAGCCGCAGCAGGGGCAGGCCGGGGACTTGCAACACCTCTGCCCCTTCTTTGCGAGTACATGCCTTGGTCAGCGTGCACTGCGTGTTGTCGCCAACCACGCACACATGTCTCTCTACTTCGTGACTGTCGCTGCGCTCGAGCAGACGATCCGCGAGGAAACGGATGGGCTCCGTCGGCCGCTTCTGCAGAATCTCGTCGAGGGAACTAGTTACCACCGCCTTGAAGAGCCCGTCTATGTCGGGCAATGCGTGGCCCAGACCCACATCACTGCCGTTCATCATGGATTGCCCCCGCTGCTGCTGGGTCACGGCTATCATCTATAAGACACTCGTCTGCACGCTCCACGTCCGAGCGCAGACACACAAACGCACGATTCCTTTCAAAGAATAACAAGAGAAATCAGATGAGGGAATTCGGGGCACAGACGACGAAGTTTGGGCGTTCGACTCAAGAAAAAAAAAAGAGAGAGAGAGAGAGAGAGANAGAGCAAAAAAAAAAAGGAAACATTACGAATAGAAGATGAAAGACACACTAAGTTGATGCACATTCAGTGACGCCAGCTTCAGCTGATGGCAAGGCAGAATGACACGACATACCCGCGGCAATGAATTCACAATGCTCAGGCAAGCAATTCCTCTATGTAACGACGCAGCGCCACGCTTGAGTCAAAAGATGAAAGAAGACTATTGTGTGGCGATTGCCCATTTGTGAGGCGAAGCTCAAGTTTATTGCCGCCAACTAGGGGCTTCTCACGAAAGGCATCTGGACGCCCCAGTGAGGCGATGTCGTACGCGATCACTTCATCCATACGATGATAAATCACCAGCTTTTTCCCTTGCACGGCTCCGCAATCACCAACCACGTCAAGGTCACCAGCTGTGCAGCGAATTAGCTGCTTCGTAAGCGGAGGCGGGAGTGGTGAAAACTTCACAGCAGCATCACTCAGCCTCGAAAAAGTTCGATCCAGCAAGATGGGACATTGTGGGCACCGCTGCCGTGCGACGGCTGCTGCAACTCCACCGCCAATGCTGTGCCCCCAAAGCAACAAATTTCCTGGTTTTATTGTAAAATATGACATGACGAAATCAACAACAGCGCCGGCATCCTCTACAAGGTCGCGCACCTCTGCTACATAGCCTGTGCTGCACCCAACACCACGCGCGTTGTAGAAGACCCAATTGGCACGCACAATATCTGTGAGACCAGACATATCATCGGCGGTGTCCTCCATCATCTCTGCGTTACCGCCAAAATAAACGATCCAGTGATTAGAGGCTGCTGACTGCCGAACAACCACAGCATCGAGAGTGATTCCATTCCGTGAGGGAATGGTGTGCCGTTCCGCCACCCTTCCGTCGGCCTTGCGAAAAAGTAATGCCAGCCGTTCATCACGAAGATACTGCGGCTCAGCCTCACTCAGGAAAGTGGCGGGAAATAAGACAAGCATAAGAAGACCACCAAGTATGGACCACATCTGCTGCAGTCCCACAACGGCTATACTGCTTGTCGGAATGAGCGGCGTGTAGGAAGCGAATGTCAACGCAATCATTGAGCTTACTGCTGGGTAGAGGAGGACGCGATTCAACAATTGTTTCGAAGTACCAAACCGATTGTAAATCAGGAATGCGATGGTTATGTGAGAGAGCAGCACTATACTGAAGCCTCTTCCCATCTTCTTTTGCAGACAGATGGTTGTGAAGAGCCAAGGAATGGAAGGAGCGAAGTGCATTGAGTCGCCTGAGAGAAGACGCGAGATGTAGACGTGTAGTGCAAATGAAAAGCAACCAAGTACGGTTGTGACAGCAGCCTGTTGAATACTCCCATATTGGAACATTTATCTGCCTTTTCTCAATCTCTCACTTTGCCCAACTTCTTTGGATGTGCCAAGATGATTTGTCTTTTTTGTTTTTGCCTTTCCTTTCTTCACCTTGTCCGAACCAACACCTTTGTCACAGAGGGCTATGATGAATCTAAGATGACGCTCCACTTCTGGGGCAAGAAGGGGAAAAGCAAAGACTGCCTAGTCAAGAACGTGGGGCACAGCAGACAGCTTATCATTGGATCCCACGCACACTGGAAGATAGATACACTCAGGTGATGGCATTTCACTCACCACTGTTGTATCGATTCGTTGAGCCGGACACTGCCGAGATGTGTGTAAATATATATATATATATATATATGGACAATGACGTGTTTTACTCTTTTGCCTCACACGGGACCAACGTCTGTTTCATCGACAATGAAGGCTTTTCTAGTGTTTGTTGACTGCACTTTTATACTCAGAGCAGACGTCATCCATAATTCTTCCCCAAGTCCAACATATCATCCCCGCAAGGCGAACATAAAGAGGAAAAAGAAAAAAAAAACGAAACAATAAGGCCAAACTATAGTACTAGTGAGTCTGCTCAACCCTTGAATTCCTGCCGCACTTCCAGGTCAAGGTCGAACAGCTGTCGCTGCTGCTGCTGAGGATGAGGAGGAATAGAGGTTTTCGAACTGCCTGCATCATTGAAGTCAGCTGGAGCCTCTTCCACTACCACAATTTCGGTCGCTGCATCCTCATCCACCGTAACACTGTGTGATATAACACCTGCCATCACGAACACAATGGATGCCAAAAGAAACACAAAAATGTGGTTGAATGGTGGGATATGGCTGCCAGAGATAGACCATGCAAAGATGGGTGTGATTATAACTGGAATCACACACCGCATAGCCGCGCCGCAAGACTGGTTAATGCCATACATGGTTCCAAGTCGTCCGCTGGGCGCGAAACGGGCGGTAAGAAGAGTGTTGAGGCCGTACGCCCAGGCCGCGAACCACTGCCGCAGAAAACAGCATACAAGCACCACGGCGAACTGACCAAATCGTGGAATATACGAAGCAAGCGGCGTGATGCCCACGCCGATGGCCATCCCATAAATGGCGATTCGCCACAGCCGCATCTTATCCCCCACAATTCGACAGGCTATGTGGAACAGGAGATTTGACACAACGCACGGTACACTGTTTGAGAGGAGAAACAGCCCAACCATGTCGGAGTGGTACCCAAGGCCACCAACGGACCTCGCTGCGATGGCCCAGAGCGGAAACACCTCGCTGTGTGCCATATCTGCCGCTGAAAGCAACATGTAAATGACCAACACGTTACGCGTGGCAGGGAGCAGGAAGGCCTCCTTGTAGCCGAACGGTTCCTCCACCGCTTGCTCAGCTACCACCGCCTCCACACCCCCCATTTCCTCTTCCTCGTCACCAATCACTACCAAGTCCTCCAATTCTTCGTCATCTGGCGTGGACCCATCTTTCATCTGTTGGCATGCCACAGGGGCTAGTAGTGGCAACCCCTCGGAACTGGCTGATCTCACTACCTCCACTGACGACTCCTTCAAATCCACATTCAGTAACGCCTGCTCTCGCAGCTGCTCCTCACACTCCCCTAGACCCTTTCGCCCCGCCATCATCTCAGAGTCACCGTCACCGTCCCAGTTACCATCGTCGTTTGATGTCACTGTGTATTGTCTATTCGGCCACATCCATGAGTAATAACACGTCATCCAACGGGGTAGCGGCTGGGCATTCGGGTTCGATTCCTTCACGAACAAAACACATACAACCATACCAAAGTTCACGTAGACGAATATCACAATTGCCGGGAGTAGACCTGGATATTGAGCGAATGGACCGTCCTTACTGAATCCAGCCCACTGCATCAACGTACTGTTCGTGGGGTCATAGAGCAGCCCACCAACCGCCGGACCAATGAGGGTACCGAAGCCGTACGTTAGACTCACCAAGGTACACCCCTTCGTCTCGTTTGTCTTATCAAGAATATCCGCCACTGCCGTCTTGGCCACAAGGACATTACCATTGAAAAGGCCATGCAAGAATCGGAAAGCAACACACATCCACACACTTGTACTGAGACCGAAGCCAAGCATCAACAGGCCACTCGTAAAGAGACCCACAAAGAGGGGCATACGACGGCCATACTTGTCACTCAGGTTTCCCCAATACGTACTACTAATCACTTGACCAAACATGAACACACCAATAAGAAGACCCGAAACATATCCGGATTCTTCTGGAGGGCGATTTTGCAGGTGAGCGACGAGGAGACCTACATACGGCAGCAGCATTGTTGCACAAAGGCTTTCGTTAAGCAGAACTATCCCAAGGGCAAACATACGCTTCAACGGTAGAGGTGTCTCTACATTTGGCCGCCCCTGTGGTAGCGGTACAGACATTTTGTTTTTCGTTTTGTTCGTGAAGGTAGAAATAGTGCCCCCCTTCCCTTCTCTTTTCGGTTGGGTAGCTCGTGTGTGTGTGTTTGTGTGTCTATGGAACAGGGTGGGGGGGGGG